AGTGCTGTTAATAAGCATGTTTCATCTGGAGATGACAAACTCTCCCTATGCCTGAAGAAGGGTGTTTGTGCCTCAAAGCTTGCAAAGAGCAGCTCTTTCAACTATTTAGCTGGTCTAATAAAAGATATCATATTTGCCTGAAGAACTTAGTCTGTCTGTGGTCTCTGGAGACATGAATCCACAGTTTGAGAGCTGATTCTAAGCATCACAGAGATGCTTAATGGGATCTTTTAGGCTGAGCACTGAGTCCCATTGGGTAGAGTGGTTTTCTTTAGTCTTTACTAAGATCTAAAGGAGCCTCTGGGAACCCTGGAAGATTGGGCCCCTAATATATAGTTCGTGCTCTATTGTGACCTATTTATAAAACTTCCGGCAAGGTTGCATGAACATATTGTCTCATAATGTATAATTATAGGTTTATAATCCTTATTCCATAATTATATCTTTGAGCTTTAACGTATCTTAAATTAAAACTATCTTTATATAACTTTTTTTTTATTTGGATGACCTGCTTTACTTTGGATTTAAAGTTCCATATTTAATGTATGAAATATGAATAAAAATTAAAGTGATGAACTCAGGCCTAAACCTCATGTAACTAGTAATCTGTAGCATCTGAAGTATAAGGCTCACTTGTAAGGTTAATATTGACTAACCAGTTCACAGGATTCACCATAATGGATTGCCACAGCTATTCATTTATTGTATACACATTTTGCAACTCAATGTGAATGAAATAACCAATACTCTTGATGAAGCATACAGCACTTCACTCCTTTCTTCCTCCTGTAATTGCTATGTTTACTTACTGAACACTGTCAACTTGGTTTTCTAGCCTGTTTTCACAGGTGATAGAAACTTTTTAAACACATCAGGCATTTGCAGGTTGGCCACAAACTTTATGATGCTGAGGGCAGTGTTACACCACAGATGTTCATCTTTTGAGTTTCATTCACCTTAGAGCTGCACAAGTACAGGGACCATACAACAGACTGCCTAGATTATTCTGGTCAAGGTGGCATGAGAGATTGGGATCAGGGGTGTAGTAAGTGGTGTTCCTCCTAATTACTTTTAAAAGCCCAAAAGCAAATTGTTAAGCATCTTAACAAAAACAATACGATTAAATAAAAAACAGATTTAAATTATTATTATTTTTTTTTAATTAAAAAAAAAAAAAAGTTGTCTTATCTACCTGCCTCCTAGGATGGAGATTCTATAGCCTCTCTGCAGTGCTAGTTCCAGTGCAAAGAATATGCTATATCATAATGAGCGCAGTTGTTTGAATGAGGCTTAGCGGCACCCAGCTGGCATTGCCAACTCATCCTGTTGTCTTGTTCTTTCTCTCTCAGGTTATCTTGGCCTTTTGCTGGATATATGTGCGCAAGTACCAAAGTCGACGAGAAAGTGAAGTGATTTCCACCATCACAGCAATCTTTGCACTGGCAGTCGCGCTCATCTCCTCGGCCCTTCTACCCGTGGATATCTTCCTGGTTTCATATATGAAAAATCCAAATGGTACATTTAAGGTACTGAATAGCTTATGGAATGCCCACATCTTGGTCAAAGCTTTGTCTTGTGGCTAGAGAGAGGACACTTGTTGCTATATTCAGAAGATCAAATTGTGAGAATCAGTATTTTAGTGGCTGGAGTGTGTGTGTGTGTTTGTTGTTGCTGTCTTTGTTTTTTTAATGGAAGGCTAGTATTGTTAACAGGCTGTTGTAGTTCCTAAGTAACTTCTGTTCTCCTGCGTATTTTCATAATGTATATATGATGTAAACTCAGATATAAGTGTGTTAACAGCATCGTATTTATTTTCAACAGACACAGAAAGAGTGTCTTGTCCATATTTACATGTTGTTTTAATACTGCATGAATAGAAGTGAGAAGACTGCAATGTAGCCTATGTAGGTGCACTTAGTAGAGCATTACAAACACTAAGAGCAGAGCAAGATGGGTCTATCCCAAACAGTTCAGAGTCAAACTTCTATAGAAAGAAAACCTCAGATGACTCTTCTGCAAAAGTATGTAGAGATTGTCATTAAGGAAGGACAGTATAAGATATATTAATGGAAGAGGAAATGTTTGTGGTTTTTTTTTTTTTTTTTTTTTTTTTTTTCCTGAGAGTTGAAGTTTTGGCAGATGATGTGCTGTTGCTCCTTTTTGTGGGGTCACAAGAGGAATATTCTTGAACAGGAGGGGAGAGATCCAAGTCCAGGTAAAATGGTGGTGATCTTGCATGAGCTACAGCCACACATCTATCCAAGTTTCAAACAGGCCTTTTTATTCAAAGTCCTCTGCAAAGGAAGTCAAAGGGGCTACAATTCTTTCTTTCTTCCTTTCTTTCTTTCTTTTTTTTTCTTTTTTTTTCTTAGCCTGAAAGGGAGGGAGAACCAGCAAAACCCTGCCATTCTCCCTTCAGGCTCTTGAGACTTCTGTTTCAACAAGCTCCTACCTCCTTGCTCTCCTTCAGCTAGCCTTGCCTGTAGTTTACTCCCTTCCACCTGTACCTCATTAGCAAGCAGGGCTAGCTGCACTTCTGGGTTCTCAAAGCTTCTGCACTTGTGTGGTTTTTTTTTTTTGTTTTTTTTTTTTTCCATCTGGGTCAAGAAAAAAAATTGACTCACTTTCTGAAAAGAGAGCCTGTTTTGAGTGTAGCAGAGTGGGGCTTTGAAAACCACGCAGTCTCCATTCTTTCTGTTCGGAGCAAAGGGAATATCTGTTTTTGATCATGTTGGATCAAGCTTTTCTACCAGAGTAATAGTGAAGAGGTGGCTCTGATCAACTAAAACATATCAGGTGAAAGTACCCATCCTTGATAAATAAGAAGTTGCGCAGGTTTATCTCCCAATTAAGGTCAAAGAAAGCTATACCTGAATCTCTTTGTAACTGGCAAGGGGGAAAATGATTGGTACTTACTATAGCAAAACTATTAGTTGGTTCTGAATACTCGGTTATGGTGCTATAAGGGGAGGGGAGGTGGAATTCTCGCACTCTTCTGCACTTGTGGAAAGCCAGTTTGCCTTCCAGAACTATCTTTGTTTTACTTCCTGCTTTTCCCTTTCCTCATGAAACGCTCATCAAACATTCAGATCTGCTTAGATGTGAACCTTGTCCCCTGTGTAGAGAATGAAGTGGTGAACTCCTTATTTTGTGTATTAAACCCTTCAACTTAAGGAGGGGGGAGATACTAGGCAGTTATCCAGTACTATACAATTTTATTAATGATGACCCTTTGGTTGATATTGTCATAGTAATGGAGTGGAGAGTAAGCTGTTAATCTGGATTGGTTCTGATTCTATCATGCTTTAAGGAGGTGTTGGAAGAGGGACTTGTTGGTTGGTTTTCAAATCAAGGGGGTGAGGGGAAGGA